TAGAGACCGGGTTTTTACCGTCTTGGCCCAGCTGGTCTTGAACTTCTGACTTCTGGTGATCCACCTGCCTCAGCCTCCCAAACTGCCAGGATTACAGGCATGAGCCACTGTGCTCGGCCAGATCATTCTTCTATTTCTTCTTCCTCCTTCTCTTCCCTCTTCTTCTATTTCTTCTTCCTCCTTCTCTTCCCTCTTCTTCTATTTCTTCTTCCTTCTCTTCTTCTTCCTCTTCTTCCTCCTCCTCCTCCTTCTGCTTCTTTTTCTTTTTCTTTTCTTTTTTTTTTTTTTTTTTTGAGACGGAGTTTCGCTCTTGTTACCCAGGCTGGAGTGCAATGGCGCGATCTCGGCTCACCACAACCTCCGCCTCCTGGGTTCAGGCAATTCTCCTGCCTCAGCCTCCTGAGTAGCTGGGATTACAGGCACGCACCACCATGCCCAGCTAACTTTTTGTATTTTTAGTAGAGACAGGGTTTCACCATGTTGACCAGGATGGTCTCGATCTCTCGACCTCGTGATCCACCCGCCTCGGCCTCCCAAAGTGCTGGGATTACAGGCTTGAGCCACCGCGCCCAGCCCTCTTTTTCTTTTTCTTCCTCTTCCTCCTCCTCTTTCTCTTTGTCAGGGTCTCACCTCCCCAGGTTCATGGGATTCTCCCACCTCAGCCTCCTGAGTAGCTGAGACCACAGGCACATGCCACCATACCTGATTGGTTTCTTTTTTTATTTTTTGAGATGGAGTCTTATCCTATCACCCAAGCTGGAGTGCAATGGCACGATCTTGGTTCACCGCAACCTCCGCCTCCTGGGTTCAAGTGATTCTCCTGCCTCAGCCTCCCCAGTAGCTGGGATTACAGGTGCATACCACAACGCCTGGCTAATTTTTTGTATTTTTAGTAGAGACGGGGTTTCACCATGTTGGTCAGGGTGATCTCAAACTCTGACCTCGTGATCTGCCTGCCTCGGGCTCCCAAAGTGATGGGATTGCAGGCATAAGCCACCGCGCCCGGCCCGATTGGTTTATTTTTGTTTTTTGTAGAGATGGGGGTATCACTGTGTCACTCAGGCCAGCCTCAGCCTCCTGGGCTCAAGTGATCCTCCTGCCAAAGTGTTGAAATGACAGGTATGCAGCACTGAGCCCAGCCTCATGTTTCCTTTTCTTTAGCTAAACTAAGTGTCTCTGTGTTCTCCAGCACTCTGCTCCTTTGAGGACTCAATCTCCTGTGTGACTGCTGAAAGTCGGGATCTTTTTAGGATTTCCTCTCTAAGGGCCATTCACAGAGTGGTGAGTTCATTTGCCCACAGTCCACACGGCAGCCAATAGCGAAGCGAAACACCAGCTCTGCCTGGATCTCCCTGCATACCACATTCACCTTGCCTTGACGTTTCCTTCACTATACGAGGATAAGAACACTTTTGAGATCATCAGTGTGCATATTCTCTGTTCAAACTAAAACACATAATAAGTAACTCCCACCAAGATGCTAACTTCCTGGTGGGTCTGTATGTTAAAAGCAGTTGTCTTCTAAAACTCCCTAATTAGAGACTTCCCAGTATCTTGCAATTCCTCAATGAGTCATAGGAAGCCCAAGAATAAATTACTCAAGAATAATTAGCAAAAGGCTTTCCCTTGTTTTATTATTTAGTTGGTGATCTTTTTTATTTTTTATTTTTTTTGCCCCCCAAATACCCCTTAGTTGGTGATTTAATTAGTCCTGCTGATATAGAAATTTTTAGAAGAGGCCTCTTTGGGTTAAGAACAATGCTCTTTCTTTCTAGTTGCTCTAGAGAAGAGGAAGAAGACAAAAGAACAAAGCTCATTTTAGGAAACTTTTAGCCATGAGTAGAACACAGCACAATGAAAACTTTCTCTTTTATATAAGAAATATATTTTGGCCTGTGCGGTGGCTCATGCCTATAATCCAAGCATTTTGGGAGGCCAAGGCAGGCAGATCACCTGAGGTCAGGAGTTTGAGACCAGCTTGGCCAACATGATGAAACCCTGCCTCTACTAAAAATACAAAAATTAGCCAGGCATCGTGATGGCTGCCTAAAATCACAGCTATTCTGGAGGCTGAGGCAGGAGAATTGCTTGAACCTAGGAGGCAGAGGTTGCAGTGAGCTGAGATTGCGCCACTGCACTCCAGCCTGGGCGACAGAGCAAGACTCCATCTCAAAAAATAAATAAAATAAATATATTTCGCAAAAGCACATTTAACGCAGGCCAACTTTGAGCATGAGAGAAACTTGGTCTGGAGTCCAGAGACTGCGTTGGTTGCAAGAGTGGTTCAGGATGCCAGCTTTACTGCCTTAATAGCTGCCTGTGCCTAGCAAGGTACTTAACCCTCCTTTGCCTCAGTATCTTCTACATAAAATGGGGATGGCAGTAATACAGTAGTCCATGCCTCAGAGGGTTTGACAAGGATCAAGTTGTGGGCACATAGTTAGTGCTCAATAAATGCTATAGCTGTTATCTTTATTCTTGTCTCTATGAGTGAAAGAAAAAAGTCCAACATTGGATCAGATTAAATTCTTCCAGAAGCAATGGCTTAAAATAAACTGCTATTCAAAACCTAAAATTATCATGTTGGGTTAAAGCTATCCAAAATTTAACTGATCTATATTCCAGTAATTCCACAAAATAGATAAATATGTGAAATTACTTAGAAGAACATTTAACAACTGCATTTAAATGTAGATTCTTGGCCAGGTGCGATAGCTTACACTTCTAATACCAGAACTTTGGGAGGATGAGGCAGGTGAATCACCTGAGCAGGCGTTTGAGACCAGTCTGGCCAACATGGTGAAACCCGTTTCTACTAAAAATAAAAAAATTAGCTGGGCATGATGACAGGCACCCTGCAATCCCAGCTACTAAAGAGGCTGAGGCCAGAGAATTGCTTGAACCCAAGAAGTGGAGGGTGCAGTGAGCTGAGATCATACCACTACACTCCAGCCTGGGCAACAGAGTGAGACTCCATCTCAAAAAAAAAGCAGAAAAAAGATGAAAAATCAACAGAAAAATAAATGTAGATTTTTGGGCGTTGTTTCATATATGATTCCCACCAGCAGAGAGACCTAAGAATTTTTTTTTTTTTTCTTTTTGAGACAGAGTCTTGCTCTGCCACCAGGCTGTAGTGCAGTGGCAATATCTCAGCTTACTGCAATCTCTGCCACCTGAGTTCAAGCAATTCCCCTACCTCAAAGCCTCCTGAGTAGCTGTGACTACAAGCATGCGACACCAAACCCAACTAATTTTTTTTTTTTTTTTTTTTTTTTAAAGATGGGATTTAACCATGTTGGCCAGGATGGTCTTGAACTTCTGACCTCGTGATCCACCTGCCTTGGCCTTCCAAAGTGCTGTGATTACAGGTGTGAGCCACCACGCCTGGCAAGAATGTGTATTTTTATCAAGCCCTGGAGTGACCTTTATGATAAGGTAAACTCAAGTAATAACATTGATTGAAGGGTTGCTGAGTGCATATGTTCCAGGTTAAAATGACATTGGACATAGAACAGCTGTTCTCAATTTTTTTCTTTTTTCTTTTTTTGTTTTTTGAGATGGAGTCTTGCTCTGTAGCCCAGGCTGGAGTGCAGGCAGTGGTGTGATCTCAGCTCACTGCAACCTCTCCCTCCCGGGTCCCGATTGAAGCAATTCTCCTACCTCAGTCCCTCAAGTAGCTGGGATTATAGGCACAAGCCACCATGCCCAGATAATTTTTGTATTTTTATTTATTTATTTATTTTGAGACGGAGTTTCGCTCTTTTTACCCAGGCTGGAGTGCAATGGTGCGATCTCGGCTCACCACAACCTCTGCCTCCTGGGTTCAGGCAATTCTCCTGCCTCAGCCTCCTGAGTAGCTGAGATTACAGGCATGCGCCACCATGCCCAGATAATTTTTTTTGTATTTTTAGTAGAGACGGGGTTTCACCATGTTGACCAGGATGGTCTCGATCTGTTGACCTCGTGATCCACCCGCCTTGGCCTCCCAAAGTGCTGGGATTACAGGCTTGAGCCACTGCGCCCGGCCTAATTTTTTTTTTTTTTTTTTTTTGAGACAGTCTTGCTCTGTTACCCAGGCTAGAGTGCAGTGGCATGATCTCGGCTCACTGCAACCTCCACCAACCAGGTTCACCTAATTCTCATGCCTCAGCCTCCTGAGTAGCTGGGATTATAGGTGCCTGCCACCATGCCTGGCTAATTTTTTGTATTTTGAGGCAGGACTTTTTGCCATGTTGGCCAGGCTGATCTCAAACTCCCAACCTCAAATGATCCACACGCCTCGGTCTCCTAAAGTGCTGGGATTACAGTTGTGAGATACCATGCCTGGCCAACAGTAGGCGTAATTTTTAAAGTAACCAGGAGCATAGAATATGTTTCTGCAATTATTAATCTTTTTTTTTTTTTTGAGACAGGGTCTCACTCTGTCACCCAAGCTGGAGTGCCCTGGCATGGTCATGGCTCACTAAAGCCTCAACCTCTTGAGCTCAAGTGGTCTTCCTGCCTCAGCCTTCTAAGAGCTGGGACTACATGCATGCACCACCATGCCCCGCCAATTTTTTAGTTCTTGTGGAAACAGGGGTCTCACTCTGTTTCCCAGACTGGTTTTGAACTCTTGGTCTCGAAGAGATCCTCCGACTTTGGCTTCCCCAAATGCTAAGGTTACAGGCATGAGTCACCACACCTGGCCTCACATGTTAGGATGTGTAAAACACCAAAGATCTTTTGAAGGAGCTGAACAAACCAGTAATTTTTACAGAAAAAAAGTAGTAGGAGTGTCTACTACAACCAAAACAAGGCATCAAAGTCAGCAGTTAAACATTGCAGGCTGGGCACAGTGGCTCACACTTGTAACCTCCACACTTTAAAGGCCCAGGCAGGAGGAATGTTTGAGCCCTGGGAAACAGAGGTTGCAGTGAGCCATGATCATGCCACTGTATTCCAGCTGGAAGACACAGTGAAACCCTGTCTCAGAAACAAATAAATAAACAGACACAGAACCAGTGCTCACTTCGGCAGCACATGTACTAAAATTGGCATGACGTGGAGAAGATGAGCGTGGTCCCTGTGAAAGGATGACACATAAATTCATGAAGCATTCCATATTTAAAAAAAATTTTTCAGAACCAAGAAAATAAATGAATTGAAAGAAAGGGAAGACCCTGGTGATTCCTTTGATATTAGAAAATATTGGCCAGGCACAGTGGCTCATGCCTGTAATCCCAGCACTGTGGGAGGCCGAGGTGGATGGATCACTTGAGGTCAGGATGCTCGAGACCAGCCTGACTAACATGGTGAAACCCCGTATCTACTAAAAGTAGAAGACTTAGGCCGGGCGCAGTGGCTCAAGCCTGTAATCCCAGCACTTTGGGAGGCCGAGGCGGGTGGATCACGAGGTCGAGAGTTCGAGACCATCCTGGTCGACATGGTGAAACCCCGTTTCTACTAAAAATACAAAAAATTAGCTGGGCATGGTGGCTCGTGCCTGTAATCCCAGCTACTCAGGAGGCTGAGGCAGGAGAATTGCCTGAACCCAGGAGGCGGAGGTTGCGGTGAGCCGAGATCGCGCCATTGCACTCCAGCCTGGGTAACAAGAGCGAAACTCCGTCTAAAAAAAAAAAAAAAAAAAAAAAAAAAAAGACTTAGGTCAGGAGTGGTGGCTCACGCCTGTAATCCCAGCACTTTGGGAGGCTGAGGCAGGCAGATCATCTGAGATCAGGAATTAGAGACCAGCCTGGCCAATATAGTGAAACCTTGTCTCTACTAAAAATACAATTAGCTAGGTACGGTGGTGGGCAGCTACTTGGGAGGGTGAGGCTGGGAGAATCGCTTGAACTTGGGAGGTGGAGGTTGCAGTGAGCTGAAATCACACCACTGCACTCTAGCATGTGTGGCAGAATGAGACTCTATCTTAAAAAAAAAAAAAAAAAAAAAAAGGTACCCCTTCCCTTCTTACCCTTAAAAAAAAAAAAAAAAGTGAATAATTTTCGTTTGCAATTCTGACTTTGGCAAGAGGAGTGAACTGTGGCCCAGTGACTGGCACACACTTTCAGAGTTCACAGCGTACTCTCTGGGAAACTGTTTTAGCCAAAATTGTGTCATCATCTCTGGCCACTCACTTTATTCAAAAGCCTTGACTCAAAATGACTATTTTATGGAAATCAGCTTCAATTTTAGCCTCAAAAAACAAAAACATTGTAGTTCTAAAGATACTGAAAAGATGGTAATTAAGGTTATTAAAAAACAATGAAGGTCCAGGCACCATGTCTCACACCTGTAATCCCAGCACTTTGGGAGGCTGAGGCAGAAGGATCACTTGAGGCCAGGAGTTTGAGACCAGCCTGGGCAACATAGTGAGACCCTGTCTCTACAAAATAATTTTAAAAATTAGCTGGGCCTGGTGGTGTGTGTCTGTTGTCCCAGCTACTCCAGAGGCTGGAACTGGAGGATGACTTGAGGCCAGGAGGTTGAGATTGCAGTGATTCAGGATTGTACTACAGCACTCCAGCCTGGGTGACAGGGAGAGATTTCACCTCTAAAAAAAAATAAAGGAAGCAAGGAAGAGCTTCTCTTCCAAATACTCCCACATCATTTGGGGCAATTATGAGATTCCAGGAAACGTAGAAAACCTACCTTGAGTACCTTTTTGGATGTATGCTTATGGGAAAACAAATCTCATTGATTAACTCACAGAAGAGCTAAGAGGAAAGGATCCTAAGGGACATGTGGTTTTACTTCCCAAGTTTTATTTATTTACATGGAGTCTCGCTCTGTTGCCCAGGCTGGAGTGCAGTGGTGCGATCTCGGCTCACTGCAACCTCTACCTCCCAGGTTCAAGCGATTCTCCCGACTCAGCCTCTCAAGTAGCTGGGATTACAGGTGCCCACCCCCATGCCCAGCTAATTTCTGTATTTTTCGTACAGGCGGGGTTTCACCATGTTGGCCAGGATGGTCTTGATCTCTTGACCTCATGATCTACTCGTCTTGGCCTTCCAAAGTGCTGGGACTACAGGCATGAGCAACCATGCCTGGATCCCTAATTTTAAACATGAGAAAATTGGGTACCAAAGAGAGGAAGTAACTCACCAGGTAGAGAGAGAAGAGCCTCCCTTACCACAGGGGGTCTCTTATTGGAAAACCGGCAAAACTTGTTCCCTGCCTGCATTCTCCAAGATCTTAGCCCAGCATAGAATAGAAATGTCCCCACTTTAGAGGACAACCGGTTTGTCCTCTGCCTTTTACACCCCTTTCAGCAAGCAGAGTTTCTCAACTTTGTGTTTGTGCAAACTCTTGAGCAGCACTAACTCTTGAGCTAAGAGACACTCCACTCTGTTTGCAGTTGAGGGCAAAGGCTGGGATCCTTGGGCACAGCTCCAAACTCCTTTTCCAGAAGTCTGGGTGGCAGGAAAAAAAAAGCATTTTATTTATTTATTTAGAGACAGAGTCTCACTCTGTCACTTAGGCTGGAGTGCAATGATGCCATCTCAGCTCACTGCAACCTCCACATCCTGGGTACCAGCTATTCTTCTATCTCAGTCCCTGGAATAGCTGGGATTACAGGCATGCACTTGAGGTTAGGATTTCGAGACCAGCCTGGCCAACATGGTGAAACCGCATCTCTACTAAAAATACAAAAATTAACCAGGCATGGTGGCTGGCGCCTGTAATTCCAGGAATATGGGGGAGTCTGAGACATGAGAATTGCTTGAACCCAGGAGGCAGAGGTTGCAGTGAGCTGAGATCACGTCACTGCACTCCAGCCAGGGGGATAGAGCAACACTCTGTCTTCAGAAAAAAAAAAAAAAAAAAGGAGGAAAATTGGAAAATTGCATCTAGAGGCATTCAATGAAATTTGATGCTAAGAGAGAAGGAAGGGGAAAAAATGGAGAGTGAAAAACAGTGACACTTCAAGAGTTTAGCTGGCATTTTTATCAGAGACAGTGTTTCCTGGACTATTCTCCATTAAAAAAGTGGCCAGGTATAATGACTTATTCTTGTAATCCTATCACTTTGGGAAGCCAAGGCAGAAGGATCGCTTGAGGCCAGGAGTTCCGGACCAGTCTGGGCAGCATAGTAAAACTCTATTGCTCCAAAAATGATGTTTCTTCAGATTAGCTGGGTGCAGTGGTGCACACCTGTAGTCTCAGCTACTTTGGGGACTGAGACTTGAGGATCACTTGATCCCAGGAGGTAGAGGCTGCAGTCAGCCGAGATCTCACCACTGCATTCCAGCTTAAATGACAGAGCAAGATCCTGTCTCTAAAAAAAATTTATTTATTTTAATTCTTTTTTTATTTTTTATTTTTTTATTTTTTAGGAGGAGTTTCGCTCGTTACCCAGGCTGGAGTGCAATGGCACGATCTCGGCTCACCGCAACCTCCGCCTCCTGGGTTCAGGCAATTCTCTCTGCCTCAGCCTCCTGAGTAGCTGGGATTACAGGCACGCGCCACCATGCCCAGCTAATTTTTGTATTTTTAGTAGAGACGGGGTTTCACCATGTTGACCAGGATGGTCTCGATCTCTTGACCTCATGATCCACCCGCCTCGGCCTCCCAAAGTGCTGGGATTACAGGCTTGAGCCACTGCGCCCGGCTAAAGTCTATTTTATCAGAGATGAGAATTGCATGTGTTTTCATCCTTTTTGCGCTGGTTTCTTCCCTTCTTTGTGGATTTATCCACCTGTCGTCTTTGTAATTGTTGGCTTTCAGATTGGGTCTCTGAGTATCATCCAGTTTGTTGATGATGAAGTTGTTTCTTTCTGTTTCTTAGTTTTCCTTCTAACATTCAGGCCCCTCTGCTGTAGGACTGCTGAGGTCCACTCCAGGTCCTCCTTGCCCGGGATCACCTGCAGTGGCTGCAGAACAGTAAGGATTGCTGCCAGTTTCTTCTGCTATCTTTGCCCCAGAAGGATAACCACCCAATGTCAGTCTGAGCTCTCCTTTATAAGTTTTTGGATATAAAGGGGTCAGGGAGCTGCTTGAGGAGACTCTGTCTTTTATAGGAGCTCAAGTGCTGAGCTGTGAGCTCTGTTGTTCATTCAGAGCTGCTGGGCAGGTATGTTTCAGTCTCCTGCAGCAGAACTCATAAACCCCCCCTTTTTTTCCCCAGGTGCTCCTCCCGGAAAGTTAGGGTTTGTTTATAAGTTTCTGTCATGCTGCTGCCCTTTTTCAGGGCTGCCCTGCCCAGCTAGGAGGCAGCCTAGTTACTGTCTGCCTGCAGAGGCTTTGCTGAGCTGCTGTGGGCTCCGCGCAGCTGCCATGTGAACATCCCTGTAGTCCTGTTTATATGGGTCTACTTAGAACTGCCTCAGCAATGGCGACCCACCTCTGTAATGGACAAACTCTCTCTGCAATGGCGGGCTGCCTCAGCAATGGCACACTACCTCTGTAGTGGTGGAGTGCCTCGGGAATGGCGGACGCCCCCTCCCCCACAGAGCCGGACAGCCCCGGGTTCAGCTGTGCTTGCTGTGAAACTCTCAATCCAGAGCGTTTCCGATTACTGTTTTTTTGTGGGGGTGGGGCCAGCCGAGCCTGACCACCTGGCTCCCTGCCTCAGACACTTTTTTTTTTCAGTTGAAAGGGAACTCTGTCTCCCAGGTGTTCCAGTTGCCTGTTGAAAAGGTGCCAAGATCTGTGTGATTTTCCACGTGGCAACCCACTGCACCAGCTGAAACAGCCATGTTGAGATTCATAGGGCTTTTCTGTCCGGAAATCTCCTGGCCTGGCTCCATTTCCGTCCCATTTTTCATCAGTTCAGTGGGCCACTCTGTCTTCCAGGTGCTGTAATCGTCAGCTAAAATGGCACCTGGACCTGTGTATTTTCTGCAGAGACCCATGGCTCCAGCCAAAACAGCTGTGCTGGCGACCCGTGGGGCTCCTCTGCCTGGGAATCTCCTGGTCTGTGGGCAATAAAAATCTGTCTGTAAATGTGGCATCCACTCACCCTCTGCGCTTTCGCTGGGAGCTGCAATCCTGAACTGCTCCTAATCGGCCGTCTTTGAAATGTAGATATTTCTTTTTTTTTTTTTTTTTTCTTTTTTTTTTTTTTTTTTTCTTGAGATGGAGTTTCGCTCTTGTGACCCAGGCTGGAGTGCAATGGCGCGATCTCGGC